TACGTGACAAATATGAATGCCTTGTCTTAGCTCCTTCAAAAGTTAGCAACAATGATAAAATGTTCGAAAAATTAGGTCAAACTTCAAGGTCAAGGGGTTGAATATCATAGCACACCTGGAAACTTTTTGACACAGGTAATGCACTTGTCAAATATGAACACTCTATCATCTCTCGTTCAAGAGTTATCACCAATGTTAATTATTTTGAAGATAAAGTCAGACTTCAAGGTCACGGGATCAAATATCATATCACATTCGGAAAGGTCTTGAAAGACAGGTAATGCACTTGTCAAACATGAACACCTTATCATCTCTCATTCAAAAGTATCACCACTACTAAACTTGGAAGTCAAGGTCAGGGGGTCAAAAATCATAGCATCTTTAAAAAGTCTTGTCACAGGTAATGGACGTCAAATATAAAAGCTCTATCTTTTCTCATTCAAAGGTAATAGGCAATGTTAATTTTTTGAAAACTAGGTCAAGCTTCAAGATTAAGGGCACGGAGTAAAAAATTATAGTATTTTTGGAAAGGTCTTGTCACAGGTAATGTACAAGAGAAATATGAAAGTCCTATCATTTCTCATTCAAAAGTATGACCAAGGTTAATGTTTGTTAAAAAATTCTGTAAAGTAGAGGTCAAACTTCAAGGTCACAGGGTCAACATTCATAGTACATTTGGAAAGGTCTTATTACAGGTAATGTACTTGTGAAATATGAAAATCTTATCCCCTCTCATTCAAAAGTGATGGCCACAGTAAAAGTTTTTGTGACAGCCAGACGGACAGCTAGACAGACTGACAGATGAATGAGATTTAATATCCCCTCGCTTTCGCAAAAGCGTGGGGGGGGGGGGAGTTGAGGATAGAAAAGTTGAAGTCATCACGTTTATCATAAAGCTTTGTTGTTAGGTAACCATTAACGTCTTTTTCTAGTAAAATATCCATATATGAAACATGTGTCAGACTCAAGTGAGCTTTTCTGATCGAAATTTGTCCGTTGTCTGTCGTCGTTGTCGTCGTCGTTGGCGTTGTCGTAAACTTTTCACATTTTCATCTTCTTCTCCAGACTACTGGGCCAATTTCAATCAAACTTGGCACAAAGTATCCTTGGGTGAAGGGGATTCAAGTTTGTTCAAATGAAGGGCCACGCCCCCCCCCCTCCAAGGGGGGATAATTACGAAATAGCAAAAAATTAATGGAATTATTGAAAAATCTTCTTCTCAACCAATTGGCCAGGAAAGATGAAACTCATGTGGAATTATTGTCAGGTAGTGTAGACTCAAATTTGTTCAAATCATGACCCCCGGGGGTAGGGTGGGGCCACAATGGACGATCAAAGTTTTACATAGGGATATATAGGAAAAATCTTCAAAAGTCTTCTTCTCAAGAACAGCAAAGCTATGATTGGTCATATTTATATGGAAGCATCCTCAGGTGGTGTAGATTCAAGTTTGTTCAAATCATGATCCCCGGGGGTAGGGTGGGGCCACAATGGACGATCAAAATTTAACATAGGTGTATATAGGAAAAATCTTCAAAAATCTTCTTCTCAAGAACACTTCGAGCGATCAAGAACTTCGAGAGATCGAAGTTCGAGCCATCAAGAGTTACCTGTATTGAATTTTACATATATGGAACATGTTAAACATACGGTGAGATTTAAGAGTCATTTATCCATTTCCATGAGTATTTGAAAATCTGATGATGTTTTCAGCCTTATTTCAATTGATAAAATTTTCTACCCTCTTATGAAAGGAGTTGTAAATAAAAGCAATTAACTTTTTGTCACTGGTTTTTAAAATTAGTACTCAATACTAATGAAATTTTCTTTGCATTCAAACAAGTTTTAATGTCCAAATTGCCAAATATATTGAATTAAATTGATGGAAAATGTAGGCGGGAATCGAGAGTTAGCGTGTAATTCTTACAATATAATAAAATTTGGCAGATTTAGGAATTTTTGAACTGTAAAGGCGAGGAAGGGGTAAATCGGAGGAAGAAGTATTTCCTCTTAAAACAAAATATTTAATTTCTGTATTTCCTTGCAGGGCAAATGATTCGGTAGCTTTTTGACGCAAGGGGGGTGGGGGTGGGGGTCACATACGACAAAAGAACAAAATTTTTAGTAGGGTCTTGAGTAACATTTGTTGGTATTTGTATTTATACTAGAAATATTATTGAAAATTATAAAAACATAACTTTTGCCTGGTGTAAAATATCTAGTAATATCTTTCGGTGTTTCTTTTTACCCCTAGGAAAAGTACCTCTATTTCGGTATTATTATACGTGTCTTATGTAAATCATTTTATTGGCTAATGTTAGATACATGTATATATATATATTCGTGATGGTGGTGGTGGTGAGGGGGGGGGTACCCACTAAATTTTCAACAGATACTATACAGTAGTGCTCCTTCAATAAGGACGCCTGTGACTTTTTTTATTCCTTGTCAACGGAATTACGTTGGGTTGTGCCCCCCACCCCTCCATGCACTGAAATTGCTTCCTTGCCTGAGATCAACTGTTTTTACATAGAGTAAAAGGCCTTTATGATTTTTTATTAGTATTTCTGATATAAATGCATATACCAACAAATATAACCCAAGATTCTACTAATAGCCCCCCCCCCATTTTTTCTGACTTATATAAGCCTTTTTTACCCCCCTCTCCCCAGATCAAAAAATCTACTGAGTTATTTGCCTGCAAGGAAATGTGGGAGTTAGATGTTTTGTATTTAAGAAGGAATTCTCTTTCCTCCTATTTATTCCTTCCTTGCCTTCACCGTTTAAAAAGTTCCTGAATCCGCAAATTTTTTTATTATTGCAATCCACCATAGGGTTTATTCAATTAAGCATGCGTGTTAAAGATATTAAAAATAACAAAACAGGCAATATTATCTATGAACAGTGGCAGTTGGCAGTGAGCAGTTGGCAGTAACCAGTTGGCTGTCGTATATGGAATTCCATAGGAACCCGCTATACATGTATAATTCAATTTGATTGTTGAGAATATTAAAAAGAGTTTAAAACTGACAAATGATTTGGGGAAATATGTTTCTTAGAAAGGGAATCGTAAGTATAAGTTGGATTACCACTTGCAGAATTAAATCCAAGTTCCTCTAAAAAACTATTTGAATAATGAGCCTTACAAACAAAGACAATGTTGTTACCTGCTTTGTCAGCTGGAACCAGTACATATTGATCGTGTACATATATAATCTATTTAATTTCTTTTTTTACTTCTAAATTATTGAAGACAGAAGGATAAATGGTTTTCATATTGCCCCTCAATCGTTTAATGCGAGATTTCAACATCCATCTGATACTTTCAATCCACTCTGACAAAGTATCACGGTCTTCTTTTTCACATTTGGCCCATCGCCCGACGTAATCTTCCGACAGAGTTCATAATATCTATGAAATTATGACGCCAATTGAATGATAATTAAGTATAGAACAGAACAGAACATTTATTTTCTAATTTAGAGCCCATAACAGACAAGTATGAAATTATTACAATAATAAAGAAAAGATATGTAATAAATAAATAAAGAAATAATAAATAAATAATAAAGAAAGATATATGATGACTCTCCTTTCCAATTAAAGAGGGATTCGTGCTTCCTAAAGGGTGGGGCATGATATTTTTAAATTTTTATATTTTAACAAATGAAATATAAATTACATTTAATTATATCTTTTAGGCCTAATCATAGATCACATCCATCACATTTTGAAGGGGATGAAGGCTGAGATTCTAATTTCTCCTTTAAAGATTAAATGTTTTTTTAATTAACGAGAAAAATCCTTTTTAAATACATTGCATTAATCTTTACAGTTGGAACTGCGTAAGGAATTTTAATTGTATCGAAATTATCTGAAAGTTCGTGGACATAGAAATCGGGCTCGATATATAAACCAATCATGTACTATAAATAGCAACCAATGAAAAACAGGAATGCATATCAGTGTCGCATACCGCAACAGGTGAAGTTTTTGATTACAGGTAATAATTCTACAATGCGTAAATTGTCATAAAGCTTTAATTTTTGTCTTCTCTTATTCATAGCAAGTGCACTATGAGAGATTAATCTAATCCTTTGCTTTATGTTAATGCTTTTGATCAAAACGTATGGTTTGAAGGTAAACAAACTTCGTGTGTGTACAAATCCATCCCCTCCAAACAAAACATGGCCGAAAACAGGAAGTGGTTGTGATGTAAACTTGCTTAACTGCATCCCATACGTTACATTGGCGCTCAATCTGTGCTGTCAAAATTGATTAATTGTTTATTTTCTCTCTATAATGTACTGAAGCTCGATATATAATTTGATAGTGTCCAAGATTCTATCACTGATGTACTGGTCACTGTCAGTTTGTCTATAGTAGATATAAATGTGTAATAATGTTTATTTTTCTTAAATTTTACTTTTTCAGGAGATCTTCACTAACAAATTATGCCTGCGGCCACACGAGAAGCCCGTGAGTCGGGCCTAGGTAGGTTAAATTTTTGCTTATGAATGATTGATATCTCCATGAATCATGTGTATAGTGGAAACCTGAAGCTAATTAAGGTGTGGCTTGTGAATGGTTATTAATCATTATGTCTCTGATTATTGATTTTCTACTTTATTAACAGGGGATTGTTTTATGATCAGATCATCTAAGTCTATTTGTTTATAATGCTGCAGCAAACAATTTAGTATCCATTGATTGTTGATACATGTATTTAGAATATATTTATTGCAGTTTTTGATGCATTTTTAAAAAGTAAAGAATGCTGGCACAATTTTCATATTGGATGCTCTTATTTGCTTTATTTCTTTTTTAATTGTATGATATTGCATTAATTGTTATTTGAGCAATATGCCACCTCCAGTCATATTGACAACAAACATTTAAAAAAAATATTAATCTGTGTGTATCTTGAATAGTTGTACAGGTGTTTGTCATGAATCTTATTTTATTTTAGTTTGTACATGATAATTTTTTTCCATTTTCAGTCTCTATTCACAAGCTCAAAAATAATCTTGATGAAATTGGAGATATTTTGGAAGCTGATCAAAATGATTTGGATTTTCTGAAAAATTTCTTAAGCAATCCAGCTGTAAAAAGCTTAATACAGGTGAGGAAAATTCATGGTACATTATCACTTAATGAATCATTAAGACATTTAAAAACCAAGTATGACCAGACACAAAAAGAATTCCTCTTTCCTGAGAGATTTTTTTTCACAGCTTAAAAAAGGAGGAAGGGGGAAGGGGGTGTTACATGTAAAGCAGATGAAATAAACTTACCATGAGAGATAAATGTTGATAAATGTTGGAGTTGCAGTGTATACTTTATAAAGTTCATTCTCATAAAGGCATTTCGACATCATGAAATATCATTTAACAGTCCCATGAGACAGATATATATTATGTTCAAAACATTGAAGTCATAAGAATTTTAAGTACATGTAACAGTAAACTTGATTGATAAACACAAGCATTTGGTATTCGTATTCTTCCATTCAGTGTTAAAAAAATCTTTTATTAGGCAAAGGATAAATTAGAGGACGACAGTCCCCTGGAACCTGTTACAGACGAGAGTGCAGGAAAACTGGCAACTGATGCTGTAAATGCTCTTGGGCCCTCATTGGATGACAATGAGCAGGCTCAAGAACTTGAAGACATTTTGTCTAATCCTCACATAGGGGTAATCTTACAAAAATGATGTCATATACACTGTATATTTTAAATAATTCAATTAGTTATGAATACTTATTAACTTAAATGTCTCTAAGCATTGAATATGGAGTATATACATATGAGCTCTTAATTTCTTTATTCAGGCTTTGCTAAGGGCACATGATGATGTGGCTGACCGTAACTATGGCGATGAGATCGAGGAAGATTTTCAGATGATGTCTCCTCCTCCCCCACTTTCTATGTTTAGTAACATGCCTGACCAGGTTCGTCTGGTAGGAATAAGGAGAGAGAAAAATGCACCCTTGGTAAGCCAAACCTTTTCAAGTTACTTAAAGAATATGAAATGTTTCCAAGACACACTGTCTTATCTTTAAAAAGAAGTACCTATTCTTTGCTTCTTTTTTTTGAGAAATTTAATACCAGTATTAAGCGTTAAGCAGGAAATTTTTGTTATGAGAATGTATGCTGGCACCAGCATGTGATTACAAAGGAAGATGTAGAATGACTGTTTTTTTTTTAAAATTCTCAGTTCTTCTTTTTCAGGGTATAACTGTGAAAATAGATGAGAGAGCAGAACTAGTTATTGCTCGTATCTTGGCAGGCAGCATGATTGACAAACAGGGTGGGTTACTGATGTTGGCAATCAATGCAGAAGAAATTGTAGATCAATTCAAAACTAAAACTGCAATTATGGTATCAGTATTCTTGAAAAAGTAGGTTAACACTTTCAAATCTGTATAAATGTTGATGTACTTTAAGTTCCTTGAATGTTTCAAATATTTTACAGTTAGTGCAAAGCATTAACTTTATGTTAAGAAGTGAATACCATGCTCCTGTACTTAAGTTACCAAAAGAAGTAAAAGAAGTTGAAATGTGAATTAAATCAATATCTCTTTGTAAAGATAGCACAATATTAAATGATTTCTGAAAGTTTTCTTATTAAACAATATATATTTAAGGTCTCCTGCATGTCGGGGATGTGATTAAGGAGGTAAATGGAATCCCAGTTTCTACACCAGAGCAACTGATGGACATTATACGTAGCACTGATGCTGGAATCACACTCAAAATCGTCCAGAACTTTACTGAGCACCAACCACAGACCCAGGTATAAAACAGTAGTATCTTCTTACCGATGTAAAATAGACAAAAACAATGCCTTAGGTTATAGACTATAACTGGTACAAAGAATAAATCTGCATGCAATGTAATGGTGCTCACATATTGAATATATTAGTAGAAATAATCTTGGAATATGTATGATTAGAGACATGCTTTGTCTTGAACATCAGAATTGCTTTACAAAATATAAGTAATCTGCGTGTAGGAAATTCTTTAAAGCTACACTGATATCAGTGACATTTTTTACCTGTTCTTTTTCTGCTTACTTGGACTATTCCTGATAGTTTCATGTAGGTTGCAAGTATAAATAAACAGCTAATTTTTTTCTCTCCAAATTTGAATCTGTCATCAGCTTATGAGTGTGTTTGTTTTTTTTTTGTTTTTTTTTTTTTGGTGAATGGCATATTGGGCACACAACTTCTGTGACATAATACTTCATCTTTTCCAGTTCTGCCTCACAATTTTTGAAACTTTTGATTTTCTCTCTTTTGAAACTCTTTTCCAAATTTTGTGCAATTTCATTATTTTTGCTCAATACTTGTTGCATAAGGAGTATTATTTTTTACTCAAGAAACTTTAATTATCAGAAGTTTTCTCTTTCTTAAGTCAGACTGAATAAAGTCTAATCCTACTTGTGTATTGAAGATATTAACTGATTGTATATTGTGCAATAATGTTTATATTTTAGAAATACGTAAAAGCACACTTTAATTACGATCCTCAAAGAGACCGTCTGATACCCTGCAAGGATGCTGGTCTGCCATTTAAAGATGGTGACATTCTCCACATCATGAGCACTGAGGATCCCAACTGGTGGCAGGTAGATAAAAAATTTCTATTTTTTAAAAACTTTCTTGTTTAAAGAGTGTAATGTCTATAAGCTGGGTATCAAAAAGTGCTTATTTTCAATGCTTTGTAATTTACTTACATGCAGGCTAAGATAGTAACAGAGGAAGGGGATGGACCCACAGGACTAATCCCTGCCCAACAGCTGGAGGAAAAGCGGCAGGCTTATGTACAGCCTGATTATGACTACTCTAAAAGCAGTCTATGTAAGCCTTTAAACAGGGCATGATTTAAAGAAGATACAGTTGATACTGGTTCAATGTTTAGAGTATAATGTGTTCTTTCTTCGTTGATTCAAGCACCAAATTGTTGATTGTTTTTACCAGTTGATGATATGAAATTATGTAATCTAACTACATTTAACCTTTTAGCATAATGACTGTTAAATAGTAAGATTCCAAATATTCAGTACCAAAATACTCCATTACTTTGTGTACATGTTCACATAACATAAAAACATTCCATTCCCTATGACTGCTGTCTTTTGTAGTTTGTGGCCTGAAGAAAAGAAAGAAGAGAACCATTAAATATACAACTAGAAACCATAAAGGTATGTGTTGAAAATAACAAGTCATTGATTAGATAATGTTTGTCAGAGAATCTCCATATCAAAATAAATAGAGGATATTCAATGTTTTGTAGATGAATATGAAATTTATTTCATGAGTGGGACAGGATTTTTTGATATTTTCACAAGTGCGAAGCACGAGTGAAAATATAAAAAAAAATCCTGTCTCACGAGTGAAATGAATTCCATATTCATCTACAAAACATTGAATCTTCTGTTTATTACATTTTCTTTGATTTTCCCTTTGCCTCTGTCTTTTCTTAACACAGTGTCATAGCTAGGCTTGATGTCATAGTTGAGTGGTTAAGACGTCATAGCTTAGCAGTTGTGAGATTGAAAACATTACATGGCATGGATTTTAGCATCATATTTGGGATGAAAGTTGCAGTTTTAGCTCTATCAAGATGTTTAGTTGCTATCTCTATCTTATGACAGGCCAGAAATTATTTTTTACTTACTTTGATATCCTTTCATACTGTGAGAGAATATCATTTTGGTATCCTTTCACACTGTGAGAGAATATCACTTATTCAATAAATAAATCACAGTATTTCACTGTTGAAAATGTAATAAAGCTGTTTCTGATACAATTTTATCATTTCTTTATATCTTACTTATTGTTATACCTTTTCCTTTCTTCAGATTTTGATAATTGTAATATTACAATCTATGAGGAGGTGACAAGGATGCCTCCATTCCAGAGGAAGACCTTAGTCCTTGTAGGAGCCAGCCATGTAGGCAAGAGGTCCATGAAGGAGCGGTTGATTCGGGATGATCCCAAACGATTTGGTGCAGTCATGCCTCGTAAGATTTTTATTGAATGATATAATGTAATTGTGATTTTATTTATTAGTGCAAGGAGGCCTCAATAGTTAATTATACCATGTAATTCACCTTAGATGGTAAAGGAGTGCCTTACAGACATCATTGTCACAAACTCTTTGTCATCCTGTTCTCCTGTGTAAAAACCGAAGAAAAACCAAACAATTACATTATGAATAAAAGTGATTCATCACTAAATTGGATTTCTTCTACCCTGACCTTTTTAAGTCATTATTCTAAAAGTGGACAAAAGTGACAGTTTTTTTAATGAAATTTAATTGCAGAAGTCTATCTATGAGACAAATAAAATAAATCTTTTTAAATTTTATATCAGACACATCAAGGGAACCCAGGAAAGGAGAAGAGCATGGGAAGGGTTACTTTTTTGATACAAGAGAAAACATGGAAGCAGACATTCAGGCTGGCAAATTCTTGGAGTATGGAGAGTTCAATGGAAATCTTTATGGGACTAAACTTGACTCCATTCACTACACAGTGCAGCAGGGCAAGATGTGTGTCCTTGATGTCAACCCAACGGTAAGTTTATAATGTCATTCATTTCTGAAACAGAAGGGGCCCTACAGTAATATATCAGTCATGTTTTAACACATTTGGTGCACCAATTTGTGAAACTAACTTACTACATATCAGCATAAAAACTGATTTTTATTTCCAGTAATTTAGATATACAATGTCATGTACTTTTATGTCCAGTAACTTATATGTATATTAGTTTAGTGTTTTTATTGAGGTATAGGGCATAGCCAGGTTTGTTTGATATGTTGTACAATTCATTTTTTCCAGTCATTGAAAGTCCTCAAGAATGCAGAGTACATGCCTTTTATAGTATTTATCGCTGCACCAAGTGCTGAAGTCCAGAAACAGATGTGGGAGGAGGGAAGAAGGAGGGGTGTAGCAGGGAAAAGAGGGGTAGGAAAAAAACTCATAATTTTTCCTCCAGATTCTGATTATCATATTGTACATTAATTTTGTTACTGTTATGACAAATAATCATTGTAATGACGTAAATCATATCTTTCTTTCCTGTATAGGGACAGGTGGAAATGAGGACGGTAAGTATCATGTTTGTTTGGGGTTATACCTTCAGTCCTTCACAACAGTAAAATTCAAATGTATTTGAATGTGATCCCAAATATAATTCTTAAAGTATTTGTAAATACTGCCATTGTCTTAAATAATACAGTGAATCTCAAACGTTTTAAAAGTCTGAGCTTCCTTTGCACTTGTAAATGCTAAAAATTCAGTATGTCATTGTGGATCCAAGTGAATCATTTAGAAATACAAGTGCATCCAGACATCCATGTAATACACTCTAACAGAACTGTGAGTATGCATTAATATCACCTTTCCTCCATCAATAGGAAAAGGACTTTTTAAGAACTGTGGAAGAAAGTGCCCAGATAGAGCGTGTGTACAAACAATACTTTGATTTGACCCTGGTAAACGATGATTTTGAGGAAACTTACCGAGAGCTAAAGAAAGCGTTGACAGATTTAAGTGCAGCGACGCAGTGGGTGCCTGTGGATTGGGTGTATTAAAAATGCCATCTCATTAAACTCATGTCCATTATCTAAGTTTCTATGCAGAATTTTATATGAAAATCATCAAGAGGTTAAAAAAAAAACCTAGGCTACTTAAAAATCAAGAAATCCAGCTCTGCTTGGAAATGTATACCTGTATGTACCTGGATGTGTATGGTTTGATTTACTGTGTGATGGAGACTATATTTTGTATTTGATTAATTGGAAATTAGCCATAAAATAATGTATTAGGTTTAAATTCACAGATGTAATTTCACTTATTTTTCCTTCACATTTGATCAGTGTTGTTTAGATTCACACAAATATAAAGAATTCTTTCAACATATATACCTGTAAAGTGAATTTTTAGCATATAAAGCACTTATTCTTGATTTATCGTGCAACTACAGTGAATTGTATATGAAGCAAACATTTACACTGCGAAAAGTACACTTAATCAAAGACTTCAAAGAATTTCAACTACAATCAGGAATAATAATTATAAATGTATATAAATGTATATTTTTGTAATATATTTTCTTGACTGCATGTGCTATATTTTTCTTTCAAAATAACTATATACATGTGTTTATACCATAATTTTTATTATTTCTGTGAAACACTATTTAAATTAGGGTATTTTTAGCAATTTGTGATCAATTTTGTGTGCTGTATCTATGTCACAACTTATCCTCGTAATTACTTTGTTTTTGGTTGTGTGTCCGACAAATGTGCATTTAGCTAAACATCATTATGTGCTATTGAAAGGTTGTTAGCATTTTATACAATTTTCATTTAAGGTTGTGATTTGATTACACAATACATTCTGAAATTTTGTCTGTTACTACTAAAGGGAGAATTTCTCCTTGTTTAATGCTGCTTTAGTTTCCATCAGTATGTGTATTGTAACAGGATTTCTTCTTTCTAATATTCATTCCTAATTTGTGGAATCTCAGAGTACGTCTCATCAAGCAGAATTCTAGTATGGGAAAGAAGGAATATTGTGTGCGCCTTACTTGTACAAGTGGAGAATTTTCATACACAATTTACAGCTAGCATTCCATATAAAATATATATACAACAGTTAGTGTAGAAAGGGGAACAAGTTTATAAGGTGGTTGTGCTATATATTTGTATTAAATACTATGAAGGAGGGGGCATTTTTTAAAAAAAATAATTTTTAATATTCTTTACAAGTGTTGTTTTTGTCCTTACTTCATCTCCATTTCAATTTGTTTGTTTGATGAAAAATTATATATTCTGCATACTGCATACATCATTATGTGGAATACAATTATTTTTATTGAACAAGTGCCTATGACTTATTGTTTATTCTACAAATCCAATAAGTAAATATGACATGTCTAAATACTGGGTTAGTCTTATTGTTTCCTGTACATTCCATATTTTAGACCAGCCTCTTCTCAGCTCTGTACAATCCAGTTTTTATGATAGTTAAAAATATGTGAAGCAATCCATTTTGTGAGTTTTTGTCTGTATTCCAGTTTAACATTATGCAATGTGCTGCAGCATACCAGTTGTTAACAACTTTGAATTATTTTAACAAAATAATAAATAGGAATAAATATATGCGTTTAAATTTATTCTTTTAGAAAACTTGGAGGTACATGTAGATGTTGGTCAATTCATTTACAATTTGAAAAAAGGGGGGATGTTAAGACACAACACCAGTGTCATGTAACATATTAAACACCAAGATTTTTAGCTCACCTGAGCCGAAGGCTCAAGTGAGCTTTTCTGATCACATTTTGTCCGTCGTCCGTCCGTCCGTCTGTCCGTCTGTCTGTCCGTCTGTCTGTAAACTTTTCACATTTTTGACTTCTTCTCAAGAACCACTGGGCCAATTTTGACCAAACTTGGTACAAAGCATCCTTGGGTGAAGGGGAATTTAAATTGTTAAAATGAAGGGCCAAGTCCCCTCACAAGGGGAGATAATCAAGAGAAGACAAAAATAGGGTGGGGTCATTAAAAAATCTTCTTCCCAAGAACCACTGGGCCAGAAAAGCTGAAACTTATATGAAAGCATCCTGGGGTAGTGTAGATTATAAATTGTTCAAATCATGACCCCCGGGGGTAGGGTGGGGCCACAATAGGGAATCCAAGTTTTACATTGAAATATATAAGAAAAATCTTAAAAAATCTTCTTCTCAAGAACCACTGGGCCAGAAATACTGAAACTTATATGGCAGCATCCTGGGGTAGTGTAGAATCTAAATTGTTCAAGTCATGACCCCCGGGGGTAGGGCGGGGCCACAATAGGGAATCCAAGTTTTACATTGAAATATATAGAAAAAATCTTTACAAATCTTCTTCTCAAGAACCACTGGGCAAGAAATACTGAAACTTATATGGAAGCATCCTGGGGTAGTGTAGAATCTAAATTGTTCAAATCATGACCCCCGGGGGTAGGAGGGGGCCACAGTAGGGAATCCAAGTTTTACATTGAAATATATAAGAAAAATCTTTACAAATCTTCTTCTCAAGAACCACTGGGCCAGAAATATTGAAACTTATATGGAAGCATCCTGGGGTAGTGTAGAATCTAAATTGTTCAAGTCATGACCCCGGGGGTAGGGCGGGGCCACAATAGGGAATCCAAGTTTTACATTGAAATACATAAGAAAAATTTTTACAAATCTTCTTCTCAAGAACCACTGGGCCAGAAAAACTGAAACTTATATGGAAGCATCTTCTCAAGAACCACTGGGCCAGAAAAGCTGAAACTTATATGGAAGCATCCTGGAGTAGTGTAGATTATAAATTATTCAAATCATGACCCCCGGGGGTAGGGCGGGGCCACAGTAGGGAATCCAAGTTTTACATTGAAATATATAAGAAAAATCTTTAAAAATCTTCTTTTCAAGAACCACTTGACCAATAAAGCTGAAACTTATTTGGAAGCATCCTGAGGTAGTGTAGATTCTAAATTGTTAAAATCATGACCCCCGGGGGTAGGGTGGGGCCACAATAGGTATATTAAAAGGGTGGAAATCTGGTAAAGAACAGCATGGCCAAAGTTACTCAGGTGAGCGATGTGGCCCATGGGCCTCTTGTTTAACCTAGGTTCAAAATATTGAAATTTCTATATAATATCCAATTCAGTATTCAAAATACTATGGCCAGAATATTTCGATCCTTCTTCAAGACATTAATAGTTAAAAGATCAGGGATTTAAAATAGTATGGCTGTGAATTGTTGAACCCCCTAAAGGTTTTTTTTAAGGATTTGCTCTTGGAGGGGGGGGGGGGTTAAGATATTATGGCTGCAAAATATTGAACCTGCGCTAGACCTCTTTAGTAAAGAGGTGGAGGTTGAAGATATTGGGATTGCGAAATATCGACCCCCTATTCATTTTTATTTCTTTTTTGGGGGGAGGGTGGGGGGTCGAGATTATTAAGTACGTGAAATGTATATTGAACCCTTATTAGACTTTTTTGTTCGGAAATACCGACCTTCTTATAAATTTGTTTTTTAAACCGGGGGTGAGTGGGTCAAGATCCCCTATTTGAATTCTAATTAAGAGAAGAAGATTCAAATTACCATGACTGCTAAATATACCCCACCCACCCCTACGGCTGCGGGGAATGTTCAGATATTATGGCTGCGAAGGATTAACAGTTAACCGGTTAGTCCTCGAACGATGCGTATCTGGTTGGAAAAACTGCTACTGTACATATATATATTTATTTACATATTATATCATATGGTTCAAACAACTACATAGATCAAAATTACATATATGACATAAAGTTAAAATGGTTTTATAGCATAATGTTTAAAAAAATTAATACATGGACCTTTCTTGACTGCTTCATAAAGTCTCCAACTGCTGACAAAAGTTCAGATGTTGGAAATGAAATTTGTTGTGTTTTATTAAGTGATTTGACATTTTAATAAGAGGCCCATGGACCGCATCGCTCACCTGCGCACATTGGCTAGGAAAAAAACAGGAATCGGTATTGAAAAGTTTACGGGGAGGGGGACAAACTTAAATTTACACTACCTCAGGATGCTTCCATATCAATATTACTAATCATGACTGCTGATTTTCAGCAGAAGAATTTTAAAAAAAATTTCCTAGGTAAAACTCTGATTGTGGCCCCACCCCAAATTTGAACAAACTTGAATCTACACTACCTGAGGATGCTTCTATAATAATATGACTAATCATGGCTTTGCTGTTCTTGAGCAGATTTTTTCAAGATGATTCCTTCATATTCTTACGTAAAACTCTGACCATCTGTTGTGCCCCCTCCCCCTTCAATCCCCTACTTACTTAGTCCTCTTCGTGCTGGCCAGCACATAAGGTTGTCACCGGAGACTTCCAGCTGGTCTGTCTTGTGTCAATCTCTGGACCTGTCCCAATGTACAGTGGTTCTCTTTTATTTCTTTCTCCACCGATCATCTCCTGGTCTCTTTTGGTTTTCCTCTCTTTCTCTTACCGGCTGGTGTCCATCTCAATGCAACGCTTGGGATGGAGGTTGGGTGCATTCTGCATATGTGTCCTATCCACAGCTTATCTTTGGGATAGAGGAATGGTGTTAGTCCTTTTGTATAGCTCTTTATTTGAGATGATATTAAGGCAAATAATATACATGTATTGACTGGATTCGAGGGCAACATGCGTTTTGTCGGACCCAAGAACCAAACTGTTTACCTTCGGCCTAATGGCCTCAGGCAAACAGTTTGGTTCTTGGGGTCGACAAAACGCATTTTGCCCGAAAACACAGTCAATAAATGTTTTGTTATACCTTTTATTTATTTATTTTATTTCATTTTTGACATACATGTATGTCGACTACCAAAGAATGCAAATGAGATTTAGCTGACACCGCCCATTATATGACGTAAGCGGTCCAACATCTCATCGACAGGTCCAATATCTCACTCCGCGGTCAAACATAGATTTTTTTTATGACCGCTCAGTAAAACATTGGAAATGTTAGACTTTTATTAGTATTGATTTATATAGGAACAAATTTTTAAAGGTATAACAATGCGTAATACTAGTATTCTGCGAATGCAACGGGTCTGGAAGGCATCTAGCTTGTTTGAAATGGCTTTTGTTACTTCCATGATTCAGAACCATACAGGAGGACCCAAACACATTACTCTTGAAAATCTTGATTTTGGTATTTATGCTGATCTTTGCTGACCTCCAGATGTTTTGCAGTGCAACATACGCTCCTGTGGCTTTAGAAATCCGAGCTAGTACATCTACCTC